TAATGACTTCGAATCTTTCCTTTATGGGATCATGCCAACATTATTCTAGGGCTCATATATTTCCATGAATTTATTTATCGCTGGATTTTGTTCTGATTGATGATTATAAAATTTGGAACTGAATGACGATTACCAGGTACGCTACGGTCATGCTGAATATCTGAAATAATTTATGTTTATATTTAATGGGGATTCCTGGGGATTCCTGGGGATTCCTGGGGACTCACTGATTACTTACAGAACCTATCAGGGTGTTGTCCAACGGGAAAATATGGTACGCGGTAAAGCAGATTTTTTGGTGCAGGAGATTTAACGACAGTAGCTTGAACTGCAATTAATTAATAATCCAAATAATTTTTTACTGGAGGATATTAATGATATTGAGAGTAAGCACTCACATGAGATTTGACGTTTCGATCAAGACCAGCTTTTGTGTAGAGATCATGAACTATCGGTGCTGTTCTTTTCATCTGAAAATATGAAACATGTACCCTTTCATGATATAATTGTTGATAAGTGGATACCTCAGTTGCAATTCGATCCATGCTTGTCACGACGATAACAATGGGAAATACGTATGTCAGAACGTAAAACAAAGAATTGGCAGTCAATATCCATGAGAGTTCGAACGAAGGCAACAAAAAAGGCATCACAACGTAGTACGAATCATAGATAATCGACGCACCCAACTCTGTGATAATGAGGAAAATGGGAAATGAGAAGACGTCGACTATTTCATGAATGATTTCGTTGACACTTTTGTAAGCCTGACTGAGGGCAACTAGACTCTTCATTTTGTCTTGATCAGTTTGAGAGGTTGACGTACGCAAATCCTTGAAGATGCGTAACATTCCCTGATTTATTGTCCGAACTTTCAATTCCAATGACATAATTACCAAAGCGAACATAATGAAGAACCAATTGAAAATGAAGTTCGGAACGACTTCCGTGGCTAGCAAGATCATCTGAATTTTATCGAAACCCACCATTTCCGTCCAAATTAAATTCACCCAAGAAAATACGTTGAAACCACAGATGAATGCCCATTGGAGCAAACGTGTCTCATGAGCACTGATGTTCTTGTCCTTCGCAAAAGCATAATCGATATTCACAACTCGATTGGCCATGATCCTGATTTTTCTCCGATTCAACAAAATAGAGGTCCACAATATTTCTAGAATAATCGACCCAAGGACTGCTTTGAAAAATTCAAAAGCTTCAGTGATTGCTGATTTATTCGGATACTCTGAGTAAGTCAGTGCGTAGATCGAATAGAAGCTCAGAATGGGAAATATTAATATTAGTCCTACGTTGTATATCAGGGCCTCGTGTGAGGACATGAAGACATACGAAGGGCTAGATTTTGATTTTAACTCCTGAAGGTAACATGGAATCAATCCAAGTATCTTGAAGAAGATATAGCATGACGTGAACAGCGATTGTCTCACGAAATTTTTCAGACGTGAGTACATATTGTCTCTGGCCGCAACGAGATCAATTCTCAAACTGCAAGAGCTTCAATTTTATTCAATCGTGAATCCCAACATATCGTGCAGCTAATTTCATTGATAGCCATTACTCAGTACGAATATTATCCATTTAATGGCATTTTATCGCGCATCGAAATTGTGCAGATGAGATCTTGAAGATAATTCCGTATTGATTTTACCCTAGCTTGTGCAATTATGATAATTAAAGTATTGTTAATGAAAATACAAACAGGAGGGATACAATTCTTATAATTATATATTCATTAAAGTGTACAATATCTACACGCGATAAATAAAAAGACAATGTCATAGGTACAGCTGTTCATTGAGTTGATGACTCGGTTGCAGAGATAACTTGATTGCTGGGCTCGCGTTGGCCGACATGACTCAATTGGAATTGCACGAGAATGATTAAATACGTCGCCAACATACCAAATATCTAGAATCATTGATAAATCACTATTAATCATGATTATCAATCTCATTTACAGCTGCATGAATTTACCGATTGAATCAAGGTGCAATCAAGTGAGAAGATATCGTACGCTGTGAACTGAACATTTTTATGCAACAGTTCGAATGAAAACTTCTTCAGCTGAAATGATAATAGCATCAGTAAACACGTATTTGTCAATATAAATTTTTTTATTCGGTAATTACTTCGTCTTTGGCAACATAATTCAAGATCGATCGCGCTAGACCTTTGTAAACAGTTCCACCGGTCATCCCCATCTGCAAGATCATCATCTGTGTGATTTAATTAATCTTGAGAGTATGAATTGATGTGCTCACCTGATTGAGAACTCGAGTAACACACACTGAGAGCACAATGAGTGGTAGCATTTGTATTATCAGCCAGCAAATCATATTAGCAATTTCCATGATTGACTGCTGATCAGTTTTCATCACCAGCGGTACCATTACGTAATAAGAATGATAAATCGATGCACCGCAGAAGAATGCTACAGTCGGGAGAATAGGAAATGAATAATAACTCGATATATCTCGGCATATACCAGCCAAAATGCTATGAGCTCGTTTCAGTGTCATAAAATTATTCACAATCGCTCGCTCAGACACGTCAGCACGTCTCACATCTGAGTGAAAAAACATCTCAAGTCTGCAGTTTGCAATCACAATAAGTCCACGATTAACACTCACAAATCTGTTCTCAATCATCACGAGTATGAGTATGTACTGCATGATGTACCAGTTCATGATGATGCTGGGCAAGACCAGAGGGGTCCATAGCTTCCACCGATCGGAATCAGAGAGAATCTCAAGAAAAAAATTCACAATCCACAGAACGAAGTTCACCAAAAATAGAATGAGTATTTGCCTCTTGGAGGTTTCTAGGTAATATAGATCCTGCAGGACCAGCATCTCGTTGTCCATCTCCACCATCTTGTTTAGAATTTTTAGAACTGTCTTATATCGAGAGGCAACAGCAAGCCATATGACGAACATCACGATCAGTCCAAAAACACCTTTGGTCGCCTCGAATGTATCCAACAAGTCTGCATCAAGGTAAGATACGTCTGCATTCATCAATGGGACTGTAATGAAGCTGACCCCGAAGACGATAATTATCAGGATGTATATGTACACTACACCGAAGATGCACTTCTTGAAGAGCAATCCTTGATGAGATCTTTGCAATCTCGTTCTGAGGGTTCTAGGACTCTCCACTGATATCGGGGCCAATCCCAGGACTTTGAAGATAATCACAACTAGACGGACTACAAATGCATCAGTGAAGAAGTATTTTTCAGTCGTTCCTGGCTCGACCCAAGCTGATTGCTTCTGAGCTTGTTTCATTTTTCCTGATACTCTACCCACCATTTCTAGTTCAAGTGAATACTTCAAGTACTGCGCACTGACATCAATGAATTCCAAAACTCACAGCTCATCAATTATGCAGAGGTAAATACTCGATGTAAATCTGCAAACTTCACTTGAAAATCGAACGTAGGGATTGAAGTACAGGTAATGAAGGTTCAGTGAGTCATTGTGAGCACGCAGCAGGTGGAGACGATACCATCACTTGACATTTCGAAGTAATAATTTTTATTGAACATTTTTTTTTTATCCAACAATTTTTTGCGTGAAGTTACGAGGCAAGATGTAAGAATTTTTGTTTCCAATTATTAATCCGAACTGTCAACAAGTCTCGTATCGAGATAGTAAAAATGTTAATCGATTATCGAAATAATGAATGTCCACACACCCGGTGGTTCCGAAATAGTCTCACATCACTCATTTGAACCCCGAGCAAATAATTAGGCTGATGACATCGGAGAAATCGTTGAGGAAGTGGTCACCAACTTCAACTCATCGTCTGACCGGTGATTCAATTGAAATTGCATGAGGATGATGAGGTACGTCACGAGCATTCCAAAGATCTGAAAATTTCAGTAAACCAAATGCATTATGAATAATCAGGAGTCCCGAGAGATGACCTACCGATCTGATGAGTGTCCCATCAAGCGAGAAAATTCCATAAGCCGTGAATCGCACCTTTCTGTGCAGCAACTCCACGGAGAAGTCCATCAACTGAAACAGCAACTATTGATCCAGTGGACAAGACTACAATTGAATAATTACCTCATTTTTGGCAATATGTATCAGTGCAGATCGTGACAGAACATTATAAACAATGCTACCGGTTTTCTCCATCTGGAAAATCGAAAAGCGGCTATCGGTGATTATTCTTGAAATGAAAGCGAAAGAAACACACCTCATTCAAGACCCTAGTAACGTACACTGCAAGCACAACAACTGGCAGTGTTTCCATCAACAGCCAGCATATCATATTCGAGATCTCGAGTATTGACGTGTAATTCGAGGGCACAACAAGCGGCAGTATGAGATAATAAGAATCGTAGATAGTAGCGCAACAGAGAAATGAAATGGTCGGTAGAACAGGAAATGAGTAATAATCCGATAAATCCCGACATATTCCTGCTAAAATTGCATGACCCCGTCGTAAAATCATGAAATTGTTCACAAGCTTTCGTTCGTTGGCATCTGTATGTCTCGGATTAGAATACATGAAAGCCGCGAGTCTTCCTTTAGCGATCATGATGAATCCTCGATTTACACTTCCAGCTCTGCTCTCCACCATCACCAGCATGAAGACGTACTGCATGATGTACCAATTCATTATCATACTGGGTAGAAGAAGTGGAGTCCACACGTTGTACCAATCACTCACAACAAGAATCTCCAGTACAAAAATGGAGATCCAGATTGTGCAATTTCCCATGAACATGATGACAATCTGTATCTTTGATTTGTCCGCACATAAATTCTGAACTATTAACATCTCTTTATCCATCTCTACGATTCTGTTTAGAATTTTGACCGCCATTTTTGATTGCGCGATTATTATCAGCCAGATGACGATTGTCACGGTTATTCCAAAAACTCCTTTGATCGTTGTCGCTGAGTTGAGGAGATCAGCTTCTCGTTGTGGTCCTGCATTCAGCAAAGGCATTGTGAAAACAGCTGCTGTCATTACGATAATTATCAGGATGTAGATGTAGA